TTCAGTGTTTTCTGGAGACAAACTGCGTCTGTTGTCAGTCAAAATGAGTTTATAGGCTGAGAATGATCTTTCTACATCAACTGACGTGATTGGACAGTATTTATACACTGGCGCCGAAGGTTCGGAACATTCATCTGGCAGAGATACCCTAATTCCACANATCTTTGTAGAACTGGACATGAGCTGGTGCTTTCAGAAACAGTTTTCCCACTTGCAATTAAATCATTAACAGCTGGAAACTGTGCGCGTATTTTTCTGCAATACGGTGTAATCCGTGCTCTAATCAGGTTACATGTATAAGATTTGGATACAACACTTATAAGGCCTTTGCTGCTTTCAACATATAGGAAGCTGCATCTGTGAGTAAGACAAGCACCTTACAACAATTATTCTCAATTTCAGATGGCCATAGTAGTCGCAGAGAATAATTTACAAATCTTGCTATTGTGCTATGGTTGGTTTTCTCTAGTACTTTGCAAGTAAGAAGATGAAGTTTGCCGGGTTCGTCTGGATGTAGCTTAACAACTACGAAATTTGCTATGCATCGGCCACATTAATCGGTTGTCTCATCCTTAATTATCCTTAATTTCAAACATATATGCAGAAATATGCTCTTACGTTTAGAATATACAATAACGACCAAAAACCCTCAAAATATGCATTTGCATATGCGCATATGCATTTTCAAAAAATCCGGGCCCTAATTATAACACAACAGGATGCATGAAAGGAAAATTATAATTGCTTGAGGACTACAGCCCACGGAGTTTCTTTTTTTTACGATTTAGTTTAACGAAACATTTGTCTTTTTCTTGTATATGAAAACTGTAATTTTGAGTAGACAGGTACATTTTTGTGTTGTTATGGATATGAGACGGAGGACCTCAAAACATTTTAAATCTTTTTACTTGGACCTCTCATCAAAACGTTCTTATCGCGCCATGAATTCAGTACGCTTTTCATCTGAACTGGAAATCCTCATATGAAAATGTTTCTTTTTTATTTGTGGTTACTTTTCCAAATTAATATTTTCTTTTCCACCTCTTGCTCTACTTTCCTCCGTCCCTTTCTTAAATATTGAAGACATTACTTTTTTTAAATATATATTTTAATATTGCTGATAATCGCTGTCAGGTTAACGGACTTTTGACTCATTTGATTTATTACAGTTTCGTTGTATCAGAAGCGTTATTTTTGCTCCTTTTCTTTTCTCTAACGAAGTGTACACTTGTGGTGTGATGTCTCGCCTTATGTGTGTGCCCTCCGTCTTTCCCGCTTAACAACGTTCAGTGAGTTGATGCATTTTCATGAAACGTTGCTTACTTATCGTGCTACTGCCGGCTACCCAGCTCCTAACAGGATCATGCATTACCATTCAGACTTCTTTCATTGTAGCCTGCAGACTTCGGAGACGTGCGTGTCACTAATGCCATATATAACGTAATATACGGCCCTTGAATGTTTATGGTAAAATATGTCACTATTTTATGGAGAGTGACTATAGACGGAGTTTAGTTTAGTAATTGGATGTACTGAACATTTACAAAGCGTAACTAGAAGTAACTACAGCGCGTACTGCGCCTTCATTCTGCTGTATCTTCACCAGTCGTTGTCTGGTAACGGCTTTCAACGGCGGCCGTTCCCCTTCCTCTGGTTTCCCGAACTGTCCCCCTGCCTCAGGTACCAACTTCTAACAGCAACAGCTCACTATGACTGAACCGAAGCAATCCTCTAACTCACTCACTCACTCCACTCCACTGTTGTCCTGCGTATAGCATCTCGGCATTGACAGCGTAGAAAACACCGTCTCCAAAAGTTACTCCATTTTTGCATGTTACAGAGCCGTTACCTAGCAATATCTGTTTCTCTGGCTCCACAGTTCTTGCTCTGAGCAAATAGACCACAATATTTTTATCATTATTAAATTTATGCTAATGTAATTTACTTGTAGAACGTTAAATAAGAACATGGTCTCCGCGCGAAATCTGCATTTAGGTTTGGTTTGGTACAAAATACGAGTATTTAACGAGGAACTGCAGCTATTAATGCACACTTTGTCATAGTAACATAATATAAATATATGTAAACATCTGTATGAATCTCCTCTTTGACAGAGATACGAAAACACTCTAATGAGTCAAGAGTGTTTTGTTACATCTCTCGACATTCATGCAAAAAGCGTCTATCTTCCCACAGACACTGTTCGTTGGGTTACATACTGATAGCCCATGTAGCCTATATAACCGGGAGCTTTCAAAGTAGGACGGCCGTCACAGGTTCCCGCAAGAACTGCTTCTAATGTAACTTTTAGTTCTTGAATTGTCTGTGGCTAGGAACTAGACTCTGACTTGAATCCTTCGTAACTTACTGAACCCTGTGCTCGGACAGGGATGATTAAAGGTATTAATCCTCTGCATGTTTACATCATTTCCATGCTCATGGGAAGCTCGTGCGATACAGTAGTCACATCAATACGTTTTCTTTTTAATCGTTTTCATTTAAAATGTTGTCTCTTTCAATTCCACCTGGAGTGGCATAAATTTGACCCTGTTGTATCCACTTGTACATACTGCAGCGAATCGAAGTACTAAATACGTTGTACTAGGGACTGAGTACAGGCATTTCTATCAGGATCTAAATTTTTAATATCATACCTACCTTATTTTGGAAAGAAGTAGGCTTATACAATGATAATGCTGTCCGTATGCTTGTGTGTGCCAACTATCAATTTCTGAATTTCTGAATGGCTGAACTAAATTTTATGATATGTGTTTGTTTATATTGTGACGTATGGACCCATTGCTATGTAACAACTCGGTAAACACCTTCCCGCGGCAGCCAACACGTGCAGCAATAGGACATTATTGCTAGGCAACGGATCAGTAAACACACCTCCATAACAATAGAGGGTATGCTTTCTGCGCGGCCCGTGCAAAGTGCTTAT